GCTTTTCAGCTGGGAATCGTGGTGGTATGCGTCCAGCCCACACTCGGATCCAGGAGCCCTGCCGCTCCCGGAGAACTCGCTGCCTCAGATATAAGTGAATTCAGCAGAATGCTCAGCAGGACCCAGTAGTTTGCTGGATATTTAGAATGACTATGGATACAACTTGATTGAAAAGCATTTTATTAGAAAATGTTCTCAGATATCTTAAGGGTTCCCTGATGCCCTCCACAAATTGATAATGTGCATGTCAGTAAGGTTAGTCTTTTTTAAACTGCTAACTTCTTTTCCAGGAAGCATCTGAAGTGGTTGACAGGATAAATTTGAGAAATGATGCATTACTTTGCAGAGAAAAAGACTGTTCTGTTGATCACTACTCTCTGGACTGCTGTTTGCACCCTGAAGGTAAAAATCTTGGGCCCAGTACTCCATCATTACAGATTGCAAACATCTACCTTGAAAGTCTCTCAACTTTCCTAATGATCACAAAGACATTAATCTGAATGTCATATGTATATTACGTATACATCTGTATTATGTGTGTATATATATCGTGCATAAAGCCATTAAAATAAAAATAAATCTATATTTTAATTATTCTTATGATAAAATATTCCCTTCTTCTTGATGGATTGATCATGAGAATCAAGTCACCCACTGGAACATAAGTATGTTGTGCCTATGGATGAATTAGTCAGAAATTGAACACTGGTTTGGAGACAAGTGTGTTATAAACAAGTACTGATCAGATATTCTGATAAGTACCAACATCCTGCTCAAAGAATATATCCAAACCCAATTCAACTTCACAGTCCCAGACTCATTTCTTAAAGTACAGTCTTTATAAAAGAAGACTCCTACATGAGTATATAGTTTATCTATATTGTTTATAAACATTTTAAATATGTCAAATGCATAACCATTACATAAAAAATAACAAAATATTTCTTCTCCCGTTACATAAAAATAACAGAATATTTTATCTCCCATTCAACCAAGTTATAATTTCCTCCCATCTGTCTTTAATGCATTTTCTACCAACTACTCAGATACTTGCTATCCTAAGCATTAGCCTTTCTCTTGAATCCAAATCAAACCATATCCCACCCTGATCCACACTAGCTACTTTTCTCCATTCAGACAAAACCCCTGAAGATTTCAGCTTCATCTATCTAGGTTTTCAACGTGAGAAGTCAGGGGGTGCTGAAGGAAGTGGGGCATTTGGACACCCACAGTCAGTCTTCTCACGATGGAGGCCTCTTCCCTGTGAGCACCCTCTTCAAGGCACCCTGTACATCAGGGTTCCGGAGGCTATAGATGACTGGGTTCAGCATGGGGCTGAGGATAGTGTTAAGGATCCCAATCCCTTTGTCCTTATCTGAGGTTGAGACAGAGCTCAAACGCATGTAACTGAAGAAACCAGTTCCATAAAAGATGCAGACTACAGTGAGGTGGGAGCCACAGGTGGAGAAGGCCTTCTTCCTCCCCTCGGCCGAGCGGATCCGCAGTACTGCAGCAGCGACATGGGCATAGGACACTGAGATGAAGATCATGGGGATCACCCCCATGAAGGTGGCTCCCACAAACAGCAGCTTCCCATTGAGGTGGATACTGGAGCATGAGAGCTGGAACAGAGGTGGGAGGTCACAATAGAAGTGGTTGAGCACATTTGGGCCACAGAAATCGAGCACAGACACAGCCACTGTGTGAGTCAGAGCATTGATGAAAGAGACGGTGCAGCAGATGCCCACCAGGGCACCTTGGACCTCATGGCTCATGCGGGTGCTATAGGTGAGGGGTTGGCAGATGGCCAGGTAGCGGTCATAGGCCATAGCTGTCAAGAGGTGACAGTCCACACCAGCCAGGAGGTGGAAAAAGAAGAGCTGTGAAAGGCAGGCAGCATAGGGAATTCTGCAATGGTGGACCAGGAGACACACCAGCATTGGAGGAACAGTGACTGTGATACACCCGATGTCCAGCAGAGACAGGTTCCCCAGGAAGTAGTACATGGGAGTGTGGAGTTTGGACTCCACAAAAATAGCAGCCAGGATGCTGAAGTTGCCCCCAACTGTGACTATATAGGCAAAGAAAAAGACAACAAAAAGGATTGATTGCAGCCCTACGTTCTCTGTCAGACCAAGAAGAATGAACTCGTTGACTTTTGTCTTGTTCCCCAAGTCAGCTGGCTCCATGGGCCACTGCTGGGCACAGTGGTGAGGAGAAAATTCCAGGGCACAGATCTGGCAAAAGGGTGAGAGTGACACATAGTAGGTATATAATCTATGTCTACTGGATGCCAGGGTTACACGGAGGGGACCTACCAATCAGAGTAGATATTAGTTTACAGTTTGTCTAGGCTCTTAAACCTGCTACTATGCCAGACAGTAGTGCTTTAGTTTATGGTTAAGGAAAAGACCCAGGGAATCCCAGGGAAGAGGCTGAGACAGACACAACTAGTCCTGGAATCCAGGAGAGTGGTTCACGTCCCATTATGATACAGATGTGCTTCAATACGTTAATAATATTAAGAGTTTAGTGTACTGACTGAATAGCCTGTCTGACTAGCTCCATGAATAAATGACTATAAAGTTCTAGAAAGCATACCAGAGTGAAGAGCAGCAGAGATGGGGGAGTCAAGCTCTTATGAAATTGAATAAGATATGAAAGAAGAGGAGAAGCAGATGGTAAACAAAAGTACAGATATGAGGTTAAAAAAATGATATGAAGGTTCTTAAGAAAAATATTAACACCATTTTACATAGTACCCTGAGTATTCTATTAAGTAATTTATATTCCTTTTTCACTTAATTTTCATAAAACTATTATCACTATGTAATCAGGACACTGAAGTTTAGGGATATTGACTAGAAATTCAGGTCATTAATTTTTTAGGGGTTGAATATCAAGTCCACACCTTAGCACCATATTGTTTCAACATGTGTTGTTATTGAGCTTTATAAATGACACTGTGTATAATAAAGAGAATAAAGTCATTTCTAAGGCTGTCAGTATTAGCATCACTGCAATACTTCAAGGAAGTCAAGATCCCATCAATTAACCCTTCCATGCAATAATTTTTTGTTGACAGGCATGTCATTATTGATATGTTCTGTAAGTAGAACTAGAAGATTGGGCATGACATATGAGAGGAAGGGAAGGTGAAGGATAGTTTCGATGTTCTTGGGCTGAGCAACTGGAAAGATGGAGTTACTGGTAAGTGTTAGAGGGAAAGGTAAGTTCATGTGTGTGTGACTGTGAAGGGCATTCATTAAAAGAGGAAAGTTGAAGTCAACATTTAGGTGGCTTCCTCTCTCCCAGGTTGTGCAGTTATTTGCACAGTTGTCCAGCCAGTTGAGGTCATTGACTCTTGCCAGAACTGATTCTCAAACCTAGATCTATCCAATTCCAAAACCACACATTAACGCTCTATTGTCAATATGTGCAGTTACTGACCTCTATGATGAGTGTTGTGTATAATAAAGAAAATAACACTATTTTTTGTTGGCTTGAGATAATACTATTACAAGAAGCCAGACTTTCTTCATCTGTGACTGGGAGACATAGTTGTGGAAAGGATCATTCTTTGAGGCCTCTTTCTCCTGGGCTCTTGCATATCTATGCCTCTCACTCTCCATAATTGAGCTAGTACTTTTTTCTTTCAATAGCACTGTCCAACTTCCACACATCGATAATCTGTCCCTCAAGGTTGAAGCTAAGATTACTGTCTCATCTATTCAAGGACATTCTCCTCTACAGGCTACTCTTTGAGCCTTTCTCCTGTAATATCTTAGACAAGTAATAACTAGGATGATTCCAAAAGTTTCCCACGAAGGGCAGGAATTTGAAGCATGAAGAGGAGTAGCTTAAGAAAGTAAGTTAAGCTTAAGAGTAAGTAGCTTAAGAGAGTAAGCTTAAGTAGCTTAAGTAAGTAGCTTAAGAGAGTAAGTTAAGAAAGACTCAAAGTCCATAGTGCAAGGTGAGGTGTGTAGGTTATCCTGAATAGGCTACCTTAAGACCAACTGTTTCAGGTCACATATGTCAGAGTTTGTTCTGAATAGAGAGCTTATTCTTCATACTGAACCTTGCTGTCTCCCAAGTTCTTTGCCATATATATGACTATTGTATGCATATAGATATACACATATTGATTTTTCCCTTCCCTTGTTTCCCACCACTCAGAGTGATAAACCTCATCACTATATTTCATTACCACTTCTTGAATCTAGAATCACTTTACCCTTTATTCTCCTTGAAGAACATGAGTGAGCATCATTAGCCTTACTCTAGAAGGAAAGAAATAGAAGGAGTGGAGTAGAGAGGAGGTTTGTAGGGGACACTTACTTTCCCGTAGCACTCAGTAGAGAGGGGAGTGACTGCTACCCTGAAGACATCCTTCTCTAGAAAGCTTAAAAAGAGGGTGAGCTGGAGACCAAGAGAATCTCTCCTGTTGTTCTGTCTTTCAGGAGCTAATTAGCAGCAAGCATCCCCCAAAGGCAAACTTCCTCAGGGATTTCACAAACAAGCCAGAGGAGGACAAACAACCCCATCCTTAAGGGTTTCTCTCATCTGCTTACTATTTTGGATGTTTAAGAAAGCATGACATTCACAACATTATTCCAGCCACCTGGGATTCCAAGGAGGAGAAAAGATACAATCACAACATTGTGGATGGGAAAAAATATGATCCAAAGAGCTTCAGTGACTGTGGAACAGAGAGTAGGTCCATGATGGAGCATAGCTTAGGGCCCAGATTATAAGCAACATGAAACTTTTTTCTTATTTTTTAGATTTTCAATTATGTTTTTAAAACTTGGTTTGACTATAAAGTTTTGGATAAATTATGTAGTCATGTATCTAGCATTTCTAAAGAACATTTCCATACCTCTCAACATTTCCCTAAAGCCCCTTTGCAGTTATTAACCTTTCCAACCTTTTATGTGACTTCCTTCCTTGCGGTTTTACTTTGTCAGAGTGTCAAGGGTGAAAGCGTGCAGTATCCAGACTTTTTATAATTGAATATAAAATGGCAAATCCGTTAGAGACTCATTCATGTTGATTGTACAGCAATTCCCCTTTGTTAGTGGGAGATGTGCTCAGAGACGCCCAGTGGGTGCCTGACACCAGAGAGAGTGCCAACCCAAAATATAGCATTTTTCCGATACTGACTTGTGAGAAAGCTTAATTTATAAGTGAGATACTATAACATACAGGGCATGGGGGGATAGCTGAGACCACCAGGCTTGTGTAAAAGCAACAGGGCATGGAATTTATTGTGCCTGGGTGCAGACAGACAGAGGTGAAAAGACCTTCTGAGGGAACAAAGAGAAGTATGCCCCTTTTATAGGGATGGAAAGAAGGCAAGGGACCTTAGGCAGGAAGATTTTTCTTTTAAGAAATAAAAGAAGGAAAACATATTAATAAACAGACATCCATTTACAAAATAGCATAAGAATAATACAAACAAAACAGAGTTACAGACAAAGTTGTAGGAAATTGACAATGGTTGTTGTATTACTTATTGATATCTTCAAAGTGGTTTCTCAAGAAAACAAATAGAGACATACAAGATTGATCAAACAAGTAATCATTAACTGTTCTTTTCTGTAGAGAAACAGAAGACAGTAGTACAATTATGTTAGCTATCCTGTAGATACATATATACATAATTTCCCCTTCTTTCCCTTCTCTTTTCCAACACCCCAGTTGCCCTTTACTTTTGAGCATTTTCCTTTCGTTTCACAATGTCTATCATACTTCCTAGTTTTTAGTGACTCTTGCAGGTCTTACACTAGTGAGACAATATGATTCTTACACATGCAGGTCTGATTTATTTCACTTATGAGTATGGTCTCTAGTTGTGACCATTTACCTATAAAAGCCTCAAGTTTATCTTTATTTATACCTGAGTAATATTCCATTATATAAAAGTACCACAATTTTTTTTATCCAGTCCTCAGTGGATGGACATTTGTGCTGCTCCCACGATTTAGCAATTACAAATTGCGCTGCTACAAATATGGGTGCACATATATCGCTGTGATATGACCTTTTCAGATCTTCTGGGAAAATACCCAGAAGGGGAATAGCTGGGTTGAATGGGACCTCTATACCTAGTTTGCTGAGGAGTCTCCAAACTGATCTCCACAGTGGTTTCACCAGTCTTCATTCCCACCAGCAGTGGAGAAGAGTTCCTATTTCTACACAGCCTCACCAGCATTTGTTATTGGTTGATTTCTTAATGATAGCCATTTTTCCTGTGGTGAGATGAAATCTCAATGTTTGTTTAATTTGCATTTCTCAAATGACTAATGTTGTTGAACACTTTCTCATGTATTTATTTGCCATTTGTATTTCTTTATCTGAGAAGTGTGTATTCATCTCAGCTTAGAAGGAAGATTTTAATAAACATCTGTGGTCAAAGTTCACTGGCTGTCTTGTTCACTGGCTGTCTCAGTAGGCAAAGTTCTTGAAGCATTCATTGTAAATTTTCAAGTGTCTCCAGAGTCCCCAGTTATCCCAAGACTTGCCAGATTTCTTGTTCTATCTCATCTCCTGTACCCCATCCTGTGCTTGCTGATGATTCTTGCAGAGAGTAGTGCTTCTGCCAGCAAACAGGTTGGGGCCTGAAAGAGTGAGGTCCCATTGGAACCTTAGAGATAATAAGGCTCTCTCCAGTAATTAATTAACATCAGTAACTAATAAGAAAGTAGAACATTTATAACAATATGATGTAAGCAGTTATTTTATACTTACAAATTGTTTATTTCTGGAATTTTCCATTTAATATTTTCAGACCATTATTTTCTATTGGTAACTGAATCCTCAGAAAGCAAAACTAGATAAGGGGGTCTACTGTGCAAATAATCCATGTCTTTTGTCACTGAGAGTATCTCATTAGATAAATGTACTGTAACTTGTTTAGTTCCTCATCTATTGGGGAATATTTGCCTTGTTTTCAGATTTTAGCCACTACAAGTAACTCTATGACAAATATATGTATGCAGCTCTTTGGGCAGATATATTCCTTAATTTCACCTTACAATGCCTAGAATTTTTTATTATTGGGTCTATGTAAGTGTATATTTAATTTTATACAAAGGCTGTCAATCTGTTTTCCAAGCTGGCTGTACTGCTTTACGTTCCCATCAGAAAGGTCTGAGATTTCTAGATGTTCAGCATCCTCATCAAAACT